CTTAGCACTCATGGTGGATTAAGTGCATTTTACGCTTTGACAATGGAGAGCCGACCAAGCTCGTTGAAACGTCAGCATCCTAATAAACCTGTTCCGGTGAGCCAACCTTATTCTTCTTCTTCTTCTTCTTCTTCTTCTTCTTGTTTTTCTTTTTCTTCTTCTTTTTCTTCTTCTTCTTCTTCTTCTTCTTCTTCCTCCTCTCCTTCTTCTTCTTCTTCTTCTTCTTCTTCTTCTTTTTCCTCTTTAAACGCCTAAACTTTGCACGTAGCTTCAATGCTTGTTTTAGCACTACAGTGTATGTGTAGGGAGGTGTTATCCAAAACTAGCTTTTTTAAGAACGAGGACTAAACCTTCGAAAGTCCAGAAACCATTCATCTTGAATATTCTTGTCGTTTCGAAGTTTTCGGTTGATAAATATTAATGGATGTGGTCTATTTTGAAGAACCTTTGTGCAATCCATTCAATCTTTCTGTGAACCGTAATAAAAACACTTAGCTGCTCCTCCCTTGTTGTAGTATCCGGTTGCATAAGAATGCACTTACGTCTGATATTTCCTAACTGGCCGAGTTCCTTAACGGCATCCTCCGGGTCGTTCAGTGATTAAGTGCATTTTACGCTTTGACAATGGAGAGCCGACCAAGCTCGTTGAAACGTCAGCATCCTAATAAACCTGTTCCGGTGAGCCAACCTTATTTTTCTTCAAATAATCGACCCGGATCTCTTAACTTTGCTAGTCTGAAAAGTTTAGGCGTCTGATTCGCAAACGGCATGTATAATTGCTACGAAGAGCTGGTGTACAGTGTAAGAGAATATAGGTCAGATTATGGTTGTCCGTTTTAAAATTTCAGGCTGCTTACTCGAACTTGGAATTTTCCTTGGCCTTCGGGCTCTATTGGACCGTCTGGAAACGTCAGCCAATTAGATATCAGTAAGGATGTGCTTGCCGCTTGGCATGCTTATCTGGTGAAATTTACTGTAAACGTTCGATACTGACGATTGTCAGCTTGAAATCTGAATTTAATTTATCTAATTTACTTTCGCATTTTCATCGTAATTGCCATATTAGTACGCTTCTTTAACATATTGTGCTTCGGCATTTATTTGTTTTAACTAATCAACTTTATGATCTTTCGTTTATTTTTTGGTTTCATGGGTTGCGTTCTCCGTTGGTTTTTTTCCACACTAACAACGATGAGCGTTCATCGTTCAGACAATCGCTGCTTAAACACTCCATATTTTACTGCAACTGCCTTTTACGCCCACGTTTGACTTGTTTGGTCATGCTATCCCCCTACTGCACTTACAAAAGCGTATGCATTGTGCTGGCGGGATGATATTCAAATATCGAACGTGAAGGCGCATTGAAACCTACGGATCAGAACTATTTTGACTAGTAGCCGTCTGCAAATATGCAAAGTACTGTCTGCCTTGGAAGTTTATGTTGCCCTATGTTCCAAATTGTTTCCGCAGTCCTTCATTAGTCCATTATTTGCATTCTTTATTGTTCTTAGGATTAAATGAAGTGCAGACATGCCTGGTCCGCTATATTGTAGTAGTTTTAGACTCTATGGTAGACCCAGGAGTTGTTGTGCAGGTGGATAAAACCATGATATAAGTGCGTTCACCAGTCGTATTATGTAACTTACTCGTCCATGTTGCCTTGGGGCTCTCTCTCAAGTCCAACCAGCAGCTGCACAGCGGCGCGTACTATAGGCAGAATGACATTACCGACGAAGACAAGGGAGACTGAAATGGCCATTTCTGGCTCGTTAGTCGTCGTCTGCCAATCATACCCAACCATGAAGTGTGGAACACCTGGGGCTCGATCCCGCGACCCGCTAGTTAGAAGTCCAACGCCCCTAATCGTTGAGGCACGGGCTCGTTGTCCTATCGGTTTCGATCGGTGGTATACGTTGTGCCAGAAATGGCCATTCCAGTCTGCCTTGTCTTTTCTGATAATGTTAATTTGTCGACATGACCGTTATCATGTGACAGACGTACAACTGTGGAATACCTCAGTCACAAGAATTGATATGCGAAATTTATGACACTTTGCGAAAAGGTTTTTGACTGGATGGTTTCGTTTCTTATCCCTTTGATACGGAAGTGGGTTTGGCCACTCAGCACACCCGTTTTTACTAGTTACGCTGGTAAAATTAAGTTCTATGTTGGGTTGGAGCAATGCACTTTGTGTTTCTTGCTGCTTCGTTAACTCGGATGGTGTAGCAACCATAAATTAGGTTGAAGGCCAATAAGGTGGAATAAAATGTCGGCCACGCGTCGTGCACGAGTCAGTTTATCGCGAATTAAAACATCCGAACGAGGCTCGGTATCGGTTTTGGTTCAATTCTTCAAAAAGTCTCTTTTTCTAAGACCTGGTCTTTTTCATCCACCTCTACGTCATCACTCCATATAGTGCTCATTTTCATTTTATTTTGGGTCCCATCTCCAATTATTTAAACAATTCTACCGTATAAAAAGTCTTCTTACACCGTAAAACAGTGCAGTTATGCTGTGACCGTTCCCAAAACGAAAATCTCCAATGGGTATCCTCCATTAAGGTCTGTCTCTTCGAGTAGTCAAACACGTCTTCAGTGTTAGGTAACTTCTACAACTTGTTCTGCCACTGTATGCTCCAAAATTCGACCTACCCTGTAAAAAATTGGCATTAATAAACAACGTAACACTGTCTATAATGTTTCTTTTATGTTATTAATTCTTTTGAAGTTGTACTTTATTAACATAAATACTAGGTTCACGCATTGGTGTCACTTTGCGGGTGCTCGGCAATGGTCCGTAAATTTCGACACCTTTCATGAATTAGGTAACTTACTGTAATTTAACTCACCGTATAAAATACGACTCGTAGAACAACGGGCTTTATGATCTATTACGTTCATCATATGCGCCTCAGCGACTAATTATTACCTGCTTAGGAGTTGTCATATTAGCCGCGGATTTGCGGACGTTCTAGAACGGCTACCAGGAGAGTTAGAAACGACATCTGGGTCTTGCAGGAGCAGGTTTAACTGAATTCTCGCGGTAACTTGTATTGTGACTGAATTCTTGACCTCGCTGGCAACCAGATGGTGCAGTGTGTTTACGTAGACATACTGGTGCAAGCGATTCTGTGGACAGTTTATGTTATTTCTGCCAGATGTGGTCCTGTATGCATAGACAGTCAATAAAAAGTAAGTATTTCCGATTGGATGATTGCCCAAAATGAGGATATTGGCACGTGGACATATCTATTTAAAACCAATATTGGTCATTCATACCAAGGAATGCAGACACCTATTTCCGCTTGTGCATCTGACAGCGCCCATCATGATCGACATAGCTGGTTCCGTGTTGCAGGTCCACCGCATCGTGAATGATCGGTCGGCAGCTGGCTTTTAAATGAAATCAAGGCAGTCGACATGCTAGCCCCCTAGGTCTAAGCTCTCGGTGCCAGGTAGACGCTCGATGTCAGCTTTCACCGCCCTTGCCCACGCCTTCAGTTGTTTCCCACGACATCCTGGCCAGCTACTGTCAAATGACATCGTTCATCGGTAAACAGCTGCCCAGTTGTACGCTCTCTTCGTCTTCACTCAAATGACTGGGTTGTGAGATTTAAATCGTCCAATATATCCTCTCAGTCGAGTCCAGCTATTTTTTGCACAAGCATTGGGCGGAGAAGCTAGGGATATGGATGGGAGTCCTGAAAGCGGATCACGAAATTATCTTTGGTCTGTCAGTATGGCCTGCTTGTCTGGTACTAACCGATTAAATTCATTGCGCGAGTCGCCAAACAGTTGTTATGGAAGGCGATCTTCGATGACTTCGTTCCCCTGCAGCATTGAGGCGGGGGCGTACTTAAACTGTTAATCTGGCTAAACGCCATTTTACTCCAGTCCGAATTTCGGCCAACTAGCGCACAAGTCGAGCATTTTGCCACTTTATCGGATGCTTCGGATCCAAAAAAATCGATCTAAACACCCGATCAACCTGTGCGAATATTAAGGTCCACAACGTCGCGAACTAGTGCAGCTTGTGTCCTTCGGGTTGTCTGTCAGTCACTCGGAAACCTCTTCAGTTCCGACTTGACCACGTCTGTCCACTTCCTCAATTAGCCATCGCGGCGGCCACACCGACTCAGACAGATACTTGGGCTGATTGTTTTGCGGATGAGTTACACTTCTGGATTATGGAGTACGTGGCCAAACCACCGAAGACGACAGCCCTTAACTGCAACACCGAAAAGTATCCCTGATTGGCGGTGTGGTTCTGCTTTCGTGACGCAGTCCGTAAGCACAACTGTATCGTCGGTTTTCTGCCGATGGCATTCCGTCTGTCCTGCAACTTGTGCTACGGCCAATCGCGTTGTCAACTAAGGTACATTGTTCGCTTATGGAAGCAGTTACGCTTGATGCATTGTTAACCATGGTCTTAAATGTCCACCTGTATACTACTGTAAAAAGGAAAATTTGAACTAAAGCAATGGTTTATTTGGCTAAGCAAGTCCTTCCAATATTCTTGCTTCAGTATTCTATAGGGGCACTGTTTGTCAAACGCCCCAATCCTCCACAGACTACCATCAGCTAGGGTCCACTATTCGCTTCCTTAAAGCAAGACGGCATTCAGCACGATCCAGTACTCTCAAATCTTTGTTTCCTGTTGAACTTCATGCCTAGATTACCGGAACTTCCCAAGTCGACAGAACTAGTTTTGTGAGCGTTCGATGTGATTGGTTATCGCTTCCTGAAATCAACCAGCTAGAAGTATGGAGGACGAAGGCACACAATGTCCCGATTGAGTAGTTTTACATGGATTTGCGGAAGGCGAGAACTAGGCAATCAAGGGTAGATTGTTTCTTCAGCTGAGTTATCGGGAAAAGTGCACCAATCCAGTCTGTCCTTATCTATGGTTGTGAATTCTGTGCTGTGTACGTGATGCCGAAAACTGGAGGTATTTGACCACTAATGCTTGAGAGCCATCCTTCAAGTGAGCTAAACCGACTTCGCCTCAGATGAGACAGTCCACAATCGCTGCGACAGCATTGCAAGGATAACCCCGGCCATCCAATAAAAATGTCTTTCTCCGTCCACCTCAGGAGCTCAGTGTTACTGCCCTTGATCTGGCTCCATTACCCTTTTGGAGGTGTCGAAAAGGAGGTCAGCTCAAAACCTGGCTCAACACAGTTCGTGCCAAAAATCCCTTTTTGACTTCAACTTGCAGCCCGCCCCTACACGCTGCTCTGCTGTTTCGATGGCACAGAATTACTGTTGTGATTGTGGTTGTAGACTGTAATGCCAGGAGTTTTGGGGACAGTTGCGATGGATGCAACGACGGACACATCAAGAGAGTGGGTCGAGCAACTCAGAAAGGTGTCCTTCCAGCGCGGCAGCCGCTTACTCCGTGTCGTGGCGGGGAAGCTGGCCTTCTTTTTAATTGCTTAATGGACCATGAAATCGTCCCTCAACGAATACCACGGAGCTTGACGGAACTTTTTTGCGTCACCAACAATAGAGGCTTCTCTCGATTCTCATTTTGACATGCGAATTTTGCATCCTTGTCCCCCGTAAACCGCTCTACCACGTTTGTCTCAGAAATCTAGCACCGAAAGTTGTCAGTTTGTAGTAGCCGTCAATGCATGTATGGCGAAAGTTTGTGATTTACCTCTGCCTTCGAAACACAACTGCCCTATTTCAGGTCCAACTGCACCTGCCATTTGCATTTGAACTGTTTCTTACCCCCTAGGGAGACTGCATTCTGCAGTTCTCTGCTTGTGTATAACCTAGAAGGATGCGTGTAGTGCACTTCACTTACCAGCCTGAGAATGGTCTGCCCTCCGCGCCCAAGAATTGATTTCTGATTCCCGATCACCAATTCATATCTCCATCCTCCAGCTTATCTCATCTCTTTTCTTAATTTAGCCTCAGTATGTTGAGGACTCAGAGGGCCAGGGACATTTTGAAGCTTGTCCTTTCTGATGAACGCATTCCCAACAACCTAATTACCGTCTTCTACACCGATTTTGCCACCGGCTCAGAGGCAGGAAAGCCACTGACCGAGTTCCACCAAGACCCTATCCTAGGACTCAATATGAGCTCTCTGGGTCTACGGGATTGTCAAATCACTTGCCTGAAGCTGCTGGACAAGGTTGTTTGGGACAGGCAGAGTGGTCTGGACCTCATCTCCACTTCCTCACCACCCCCCATCTACGCCCTGTTGGAGAGAACTTGCCAGGACTCTTCGCTGGCAGAGGTAGATAAGCTGGCTGTCGGTTGCAAGGCGCCGGAGCATCTGAAGCGTCTGTGCGACATTCAGGCCTCTAAGTCGGGCTTCCGCAAGCACCGTTTCTTCATCTGTCAGCGCGTCTACAACAAGGCCTTGATTGAGAAGGCAGTGGACATGCAAATGAAGATCTGTGAGCAAGTTCCCCTCCTGAAGGAGAGTTGCTACCCACCGGACTGGTTCCACGTCACCCTGTGCACCTTCTGTCCGGCTGGACCGGAGGAGTTGCATCTGTCTGTTCGGATACTTCAGCGACTGATTGACAAATACTACAGCGAGTCTCGTCCCGTGATTAGATTTCCCTACGCACAGAAGTTTGCGGATTTTAGGGTTGATGTCGTGGCCGACGTCAGCGGCTCCATTAGTTGGATAATAAGTTCCGCCTTTCGGGGAGATGGAATTGAAGTGGATGCTCACGAGTTCAGACCACATATGACTGTGATTAAGGTTTGTTGACTGGGCTTTCTGAGCCCGTGTACATTCATTGTCTTCCAACTAATTTTATGCATGCCCCCTGGGTATGTGTTTATTTCGCATTTTAAGTCTTCTTTGTGCGTTCAAGCTGACGTTTATGGCATTTTTTGTGCCAAGGGAGAGGAAACCACGGGGTGATATAAGCGACACTGGGCTGCTTTAGGACGGAACTGTGGGAAGAGCCAACAGGTCATAAGGGGCGTTGTGCACTGGGATTTTAGAAACGCGTAAACTTTCACTTTCAGCAATTTTTATTGCTGTTTACCAGGGTTTAATTGCTGTTTGTTGGTACCCACAAATTTCGCCATTTCTCAGCTGTTTCCTATCGCCTCAGTAGTACATATCAGACTGGATCTGTCCATGTAGTTGGCATATAAACCGGCAGAACGAACAATCTAAGCAGTAAAAAGCCGCTTTAACACTCCTTTTTGGGATCTGACTTGCGTTTTTTGTTGAAAAAATTAGCAAAATAGATTCCTCGTCACTGTTACTATTGCTTCTGCCTTCTCTTCAGCCTCCGTTAAGTGTTTTGCGAAATATATCTGGTCAACTCAATGTACAGAAATATTTCCGTAGATGTGACTCCAGGAACACCTGCCAGTCAGTGAATCGTCTCGATGTCTGTATGTGTGGTGAAGAACGCGACGAGGAGGGATTTTGGCTGCGAGCTGTCTCCCTCCAGCTGGCGCCAAATTCAAAATTCTGATTTCTTCGTCCTTTGCACATCCCTTTCGTCTGTTTTTCTGCAAAACTACCTTATGTTGGTGCATTTATTTCTGACCCCGACATCGGACCCTACCTCTCTTTAGTGCTGAGCAGTATGCCTAAACCGAGGTTATGAGGCGACTACCTCGTGAACTTTCAAACTGTCCTCTTTTTCGTACAGAATTTTTGCCTACTTTGCGCCAGTAAATTTCCTTGGCTAAACTGTTTTGTCATAGTCTACCTTAGCCGAAGGCTGCAACAGTTTTTGGTATTCTAAATAATACAGCAATAGATTTCGTACAAGAGGCTAACCTCTGACTCGACCCCTCGGGAAGACGATGCCCGGTAGATTCTCAGTCTATTTTCACATTTCGTTGCACTCGAGCCGATTGCTTCTTCGACTAGAGCCCTTTTTTAGCACAGCTGGGTCTATTGCTCGGTGGCGGCTATGAGCTGCCTGGCAAACCCATTTCGTTTCTAGTTTTACTGTGTACCCTGTATAAATGCAGCAACTTCGATGTGCGCATTAAGCGAAACATAGGGCCGTTCCCTAAGTCGCATTAGCTGTATACCTGTTTCGTGTATTTGCAAAATCCTTTTTTGAGTTAGCGCCGATGATTAGCTGTGCGGAACAACGACGGTCACGGTCGAAGGAACGTCGAGAGGGACCGGGGGATCGGCGCAGCTGCAAAGCGGCAACAGTCGCTGACAACGGGGCAATCCGTGTCTTTAGTTCAGCCAGGTCAGAGGTGGACACGGTGAGAGGCTGGGAAACCTGAGCAATCGTCGGGGATGACAAACGCTCAACCTCCATAATACGGTCGGCCATCTCCGCTGGCTTTGATATGTCTAAGTCATCTGAACCAGAGGCCAAGATTGTTTGTAGGCAGGCGTTCTAAGAACATCTCTTTGAGGAGCTTGTCGTCGATGGCCATGTTCCCAACGAGAGAACGCATACGACTCAAGAGTTCCGACGGCTTGCGATCATCTAAGGCCTCTTCTTTTACCAGTGCGTGATAACGCTGCCGATCGGAGACTGATGTCAGACGAAGGATTTCAGCCTTCAACTTGGTGTAAGGAGCATCAGTCGGGGGATCTCGCAAAATCGTCTGCACTTGGGAAAGGATGGTAGGAGGAAGGGCCTCGACCAACTTATAATATTTGTCTCTTTCTCGTGTTATCTTGGCGGAGTGAAATGTCGCCTTGATATGGAAAAAATAAAGTTCTGGCGCATGTTACCAAAAGTCTGGGAGAGAAGAAACAAGTCCACTGAGAGAAGTAGTGACATCGTTGGAATTCGTAGAGGTCATGATGGTAGAAAGAAAGAAGGCCAGCGGACTGTATGCAAGTAGAAAGTCAACAAATTAAAGGTATAAGCGCGAACGTCAAAAGGTCACTACTGTCGCGAGCGCTAAGGACAATACTATCAATCCCAGACGATGGATATCAGGATAAGACCAGAGTTATGAAAGAATTAACGATCAAAACTCAAACGACCTGACAATCCAACACATGCCGAGCGCGCCGCGTTGCGTTGTATTCCTTCCATTCAGCTAAACAACCAGTGAGTTCAAGAATGAGGAACAGGTAGGGAAAGGCAAGATAGTCTGGCGCCTCGGCACAGCCATGCCTGTATCGAAGATCCCCGTTTATGGACGTTTAGGTACTTTTCCTTACCTACGTCAAAACGTCTAACTTAACGACAGGGTTCACTTGACTAACTCAACCAATGAGCTTAATTGGCGTGACAATAGCTCGTGCAACATGATAGTCGAGTGATACGCATGTCCGCCTGGGAGTGTCTTCCTCGACTTCTCAAACTTCGTGTTTGTTTGGGCTAAGTGGACGCCTAGGGTTCGAAACTCATTGGAGAGATCATCACAACGTTTTTACAGTAAGTGGTCGACAAAGGAGACTGAGAACTGTAAGCGAGAGGGGATTTTGAGATGATGCGGACTTTCCGAAAATAAATTCGCTTTCAATAGCAAATGATGGAATACTGCTCACCAGACTATTCCAACTGATCTCGGGGCGGCTCAGAGTGCTGACATATAGAGTGTGCTTCAATACCGAGACGGTCAACCTCACAGACAAGATATAGTCGGTTCTCGAACAAACTACGTGACGCGGCGACACGACAGCAATTCGCCTAAGTGGTGAGGAAGTGTAGGTCACATGATATCATGCCTTTAGAAGACTAAAGTCGTGAAATGGGGATAACGAGCAACTATCTAATGGGGAAAGGGACATGATAAGGAGCTAGTACTGAAGGCCAATATAGTACTAGCTGTATGTAGAAATGACACAATATCAGCGTTAGAACAAATGGAAATCAACCAAATGACACAACCATCGCGGAATTCGGTGAGCTGTCAGAAGCACGCGAAGCGCGAGCTCCACACCGGTCCATTTCTCTCTATTGTCCAGTGTTCGCGTTCAACCTGACTAAGTGGCTGTCCCGATACCTTAAACCGCCTACTTGTGGCCCGGGTACACTGTTCAGCCTGACTTCGTGGTCGCTGGAGGGGGCTCAGGCAGATGGAACTCCGGTCACTTGAGGTCACCCCCCTCTCTCCGCCTCATTCTCTCAGAAGCGGTCGGCAAATCTCCCGATATTCGAGAGAATGAGACAGACAAGTTGCTGAAACATGAACATCCCATACAGCCTCTGCCTTAGGAAATATTTTAAAGCCGGGTGGACTATGTATATGCAGGTTAAATGTGTCCCGGTGGGGTCACCGCTCTCTCGTTTTTTACTGAGATTGTTTTCCAAAACCTGGAAGTTTAAGTGTGCGGTGCCTCCACACCGGGCGCCTTTTGCAATGCTGCGCCTCTTGCTAGTGCCTGTACGAAAGCACCAGCAACAGCCTGGTTTTGGCCCGCTCACGTGATCGCCGTCAAGTTACGTTGCTGCCACTCTATCTGTCGCAAGCTTCCGGCCAATTTGCTGCTAGGATCATGTGAGGCTTTTCCTCAGCTTCGCGTGGACTTGAAGCTAATTAACGCAGTTTCTTCCCTGGTTGATTAGAGACGGGATAACTCAAACCTCGCAATCAGCTCAATGAGTGTTTATGTGGAGTTGTGACTGGGTGTCAGGCCACGGTGGCTCTTTCTTAATATGGTCTCTGCAGAGCTCCCTCCGTGTGTGGGATTCCACTCGATATGGTGTCATGCGCCCCCCAGGTGTGGGTTTTCGCCGTGTCAGCCACGTGCGCCTGCTCCTGCCTCCGGTCTTCTTGACTCTGCGTTGGGCACCGGCCCCGGGGTGGGGGAGGAGAAGAGAGTGCGCTAAATGCAGCGCAAACCTCCTGTCAATTTAACCTAACTCAGGCGCAAGTTACCATCCCTGCTCCCGCCCTGCTGTGCAGCACACGGTGAACATCGTCGGCGAAGACGATCGGACTGTCGTGCCATGCTTCAGACGGGGACTTAACGTCGCATCAGTCACAGTCTTATTCCCGATCATTTAAACTCGGACGAACCCCTGCTATATGGAAAATGGAAGAAGAAGAAGAAGAAGAAGAAGAAGAAGAAGAAGAAGAAGAAAGAAGAAAGAAGAAGAAAAAGAAGAAGAAGAAGAAGAAGAAGAAGAAGAAAGAAGAAAAAGAAGAAGAAGAAGAAGAAGTGAGGTTGATTCAGCTCAAACCCAACGTCTAAATTGCAATTGTGGCCAAGTGGATGCCCTTTGAAACCATCACGACACGCTGCCAACCACAGATGCTCATGTTGACCAATCAACTCTCCGCCCCCATGGATACTTTGGAGGTGCCTTTGATTGGCGCATTCATAGGCGAACGGCTGTGCCCGTGGATGGTCATACGTTGGCTCGAACCGATGCGCTGTCTGCCTTGTCAGGTAATCTTCCTGGCGTCCGGTCAAAGCTACGACACCCTGCATGAAATCAACAGGCCAACAGTACGAGTCCCTCTAATCTCACCTGTCTTCTTGTTGTGTGTGTTCTCAACTAAAACATATTTTTAACTCCATACACAATTCATTCTTGTCAAAAAATGACATCTCTGAATGACGGAACTTGCGCTGTTCTTAAGTGTTGCTGTTCAGTCTTGTTCAGTGATTTGCTGCTTAAATATTGCCGACGCGGTCACGTTAAAACAACTGTTTCACCTGGAAAGACTGTTGTTCTCTACATATGGTTCGCCCCCACCCATTCCCCACTTTGAAAGATTTTCCAAGATCGTTCTGTGAACTAAGAGGCATTCACACGCACCCAGAAGACTCTTCGAGACCTTTGGTGGCTGTCTTACACGTGTATTTGCACACAAAACTGACCCTATTCTGCCAAAATTCCGTTTTTACAGAGACACTTATTTGCCTGTGCGTCATAGGGTTTCATTAAATTCAATCTCCGCCTGCGCGATGGCATTGCGCTCGCCCAGCTGTGCAAACAGTTTCGCCAGCTTGCTGGGCAGCTTGTTCCTCTCCCTTCCGGTCTGTTGCGTGGTTGCACTAGTGCCGCCGGTCGCGGTCGCCGAGGTGGCGTCTATGCCGGCTGCATCCGAGGCTGTTCCAGCCCCCATGCGGCCCGGCCCCTCGTTGCCCTCACCGGCGCCGCCTCCGTCCACGTCGAGGCTCTTGCCCACCCGCTCCATGAGGCCCTGCAGGGAGGTGACTGCGCACTCCAGACCGTCCGGGGTCAGGGGGTCGACACCGGGGTCGAGGCGGGGACCACGCTTGTTCTTCTTCGTGTCATTGGGGTCCTCATACCGAAATGGCTTCACATCCAGGTGGGCAGGCTGCATAAAGGCCTCATTGAGCCAGGTGGCTACCTGCGCAGCCTGTTGGCCGCAGCTGTGGAGAATCTGCTGTAGCAGTTTGGTCGGCAGGTAGAGGATGCGTTTGGGTGGGCGTAGCTGCTCACAGTGGCGTCCCTCGTGGGTCTCCAACATGCGGCAGAGGGTGAGAATGGGCAGTGTGGCGGCGTAGGGCTCGAGGGACTCTTCGACTGGCTTCGCTGCCTCACCCTCCCCGTTGGCGGCTTCTCCGTCTTCTGGGGAGGCTTCCGCCTCCGTAGCAGCAGCCGCCGCCTCCTCCTTGGGGTTCACCTGTTGTGGATTGCTATTTTGATTTTCCTCTTCGCTCGTCTCCTCCTTCCCAATGGTCAGTTTGGCTGGTAGGGTTTTGTCGTCTTCACAGAACTCTTGGTTGCAGGTGCCGCAGCGACACCAGGTCTTGCCACTGTGGGCAACCATAATATGTACCTGGGAAGGCATAAGACAGGATGAGCAAAATACGCCATCTGCAGTTGCGGCAGTAGATATCCTATCTCATGAAATATTGGCTGAAATTCTTAAATGTGTTTTTAAGTCCAGAATATGACTTAACCAGGGTTGTACTATTTATTATCATGTGGCAAAATACCAAGATAATCCAGTGACTTAAGAATGCCGGATATCGAATGAGCTCCTTATCGGCCGCCTGCATAGACTTCTTAAGTAGCATGGATTTCTTCCATTGACTTTCGATGCCCTTATAAATCTAAATATATTTTGTGGAAGACATGTATAAAAATATTCCTCATGCTACACTTTTGGTAGCAAATCACGTCTCCTTTAAATGTTAAACTTAAATAAGGAGTATCTTTCGATTTTAAAAGACTTTCTAAATTCCCGATTAATTTTTAACTCAACCCGTCGTTACACTTTCATTCAGAGTCTTTAAACTACTTGCTACATTCTTGTATACGATTGCGAAGGAAACATATAGGACCCAGAAAATTTGTGATGGGGGTGGACCACGTTGTCCACTTTATAAGTAGCATTGACAAATACACCGATGCGATGCTGTACGGTTGGTCATTTCGCGGTTCTAAAAAGTCCCACAATTGGGATTTTTAAAACTGAAAGAATTTAAAGAAGACGCAATTCGCTACCAAATGGGTATATGAATCAGAATTTCGCGCACCTCCCCCAATGGGATATATTTGAATTTATAAGGACGTTGAAAATCAGCGGGAAAAATCCCACTACTTAAACAGTTATTTTTAAGGAATATAGTTAATGGAGGCGATCAATAAGGAGCTTATTCGAAAGCCGGCATCATGACGTGAATAAGATATCTTGATAGTATGCGACATGGCCATTACCATTACGACCCTACTTAAGTAATCTTCTCGCATTGAAAACGCGTTTCAGAATTTCGGTTGAAATTTAATGCGACAGCTTATCTACTTATCTATAAGTGAAGAAGAAGAGTCGAGCACCGGAATACTTCGTTTATTATCCTGGGCTTTCAGAATCGTACAGGAGTCCATCGTCAGAGGTAGTGGCAGAAACAGGATAGGCGTCAGTTATAAGGCACGTAGGCCCAATCATCGACCGACGTCGCACGACTGGAGGTGACCACGTGAAGAAGAAGAGTCGAGAGAAGAGTCTTCACTTATGCATACACCTGGAACTCGAAATTTCGCCTTCATTCATCTACTTATCTGCACGAACTGGTATTTTACCTCTCTTTCCGCCTGGCACTCTAGTTTCCTCTGCGCTCCCAAGGAAACCATGCTCACCGCAGTGGCCACACGCGGTGGACTGGTAGCTGGGACGTGACCGTCTTGATTGCGCCAGTAGAGGGAAGACGAGGCAAGCATGGACGGGGTCTTTGTGCTGTGACTGCCACTGCGCCCTCTCCCATACCTAGTCGTCTTGATATAGCCTTAGCACTGGTCCTCGAGGAGAGATTGAGGCTCCTACTGTACAAGTCCTCTTTGCCACTCACTCATCTCCCACATTGAAACTCCAACTATCGCATCTAGTGAAAACGGTCATCGTCTATTTCTGTGAACAAAGCAACATGGAGAAGGTGGGATGGTTTTTGCGTTGCAGCCACTGAAAGCGGCCCTGCAATCCTCTCCCAGGCTGAAGCATTGATTAGGTCTAAAAACACTAGAACCCCTGCTATTTTCACGACTTTTACTGCTCTCATCAGGATCCCTCCACACGATGGTTCCTCTACCAATCAGACATTTGTTATCAAAGCATTGCACCATAATATGACATCGACTAGCTTTGGAAGCCCAGGAGGATCTCGCCACTTGTTGTTGTTCCTCAGCTGGCTCGGGTATTTTTTCTCGCCTGGTCTGCGATTTCAACATCGCTCTCTTCTTGTGTCAACAATTATGAAAGTAAAAATGGAAGAAGATGCAATCGCTGTTGCCCTAATGTTATCTGCGAATTCACCTGTACGCTTGCAAATTGTTATGAGAGGCTTGGGCTAAGGAAGTGGAAATGAGTTAGTTCGTGGGTGCGTCTGTGGATGCTTCATCGAGGGTAGTGACTGAAACGTGCGTCCTCCCACACATGTTTAAGAGAGTCCCTGCCGATTGCGCAGTCCTTGTTACCTACCTGCAATCCTGAGGCCCAATAAAGGATAGCCGCCAGTTGTCACCCCTTGCAGTTGGTTAAGGTCTGAGGTTCGCTATTACCGCACTCTTCCGAATGTGGCCTGACGAAGGCTCTGCAGGACTTCGAGATCCCAACTGTAGTTTTCCCGTAGACTGTGGTGTATTCCCTTAGGAATGAGTGCATACCGATCCATTGGCTTCCCGAGGCAAACAAGTTTCTTATGGGTGGCAAAGGTCACGAAGAGGTAACAATTACCAGTCCGAAGTCGGCCGAGTCACGGCAGCAGCGAGGAGGGGTGACAGGGAACTGTTTTTGGCTTATGTTGCCCTCATTCAGCCAGTTATGACCCCGGCCACCAGCTGGGACCAGAACCACAAACATGCGCGCAGACACACTTGGCGCAGTTGGTCCACCACTGGGGTCTACCAGATGGGTCATAAGTACTCCCTCGAATCGACGTTCATCAGTGCCTCCCCACCTGTCATTCTCTGTCTCTGCAGATCGGGCATTTATTCACTCAGGAATGGGCGCACACCGGTCCATTGGCTTCCCGAAGCAAACAAGCTTCGTATGGGTGATAGGGGTCACGCACAGGCAACCGCCTATCAGACCGAAGTCGGCCAAGCTGTGATAGCAGAGGTGTGTGAGCGCGTGTTTATGTTTCGGGTCCTAGCAGGTGATTATGATTAACCGAATGACGGAAAACAGGTCCGAAACAGCTCTGTATAAATCTAACCCTCAGACTCTGTCGTCTGCCCTCTACCGTTGAAGTGGGCTTTAACACTTGCGTACGGCGGCAAGGCAACGACTGCAGGCAGATTTTGGCGTTTTCATATCTACTGGCGTTGGTTGGTGCATGATGACTGGTTTGTGAATGTTGACGGCCAGTCCAGAAGGCAAGAAACTCATGTTTCCCTCCATGTCTGTCACTTCTGTAGTTTTGGCTGCTCAATTGGCTGTGAGAAAGGGCTCATTAAACTTGTCCATGAGGAATTTTTTCAAAGCCCGCATGTATTGCAGGTTGAACAGTTTCCCCTCCGCCGGTTCGATATTCGCGTCAGATATTTATGAGTCAGTTCCGATATGTGTCCTTCAGCTTGTGGAAATGTGTGTGGTTGGTGAGGCTTAAGACGGATACGTATTCCTAACGTACAGTACGTGACCTAACTCATGAATCTTGATAACAAAAACTGATATGAGAATTTTTGGGCTCCTCAAACTTTCGGTATTTTGCTCGCTCGCCAAGGTCCCCGCGTAAATGCCCTTTTTCATGCAATTTTATCAAGCAAGATGTTCATAAATTTGAGCAAAAATGTACGTTTCGGTACGTTCGGGCAATTTCTTATGCCAACACCTGTCCTAGATTTCGGTTGAGCATCTGCGAACATTTTTCTCTGAGAGAAAAGTAATTGGCCCTCAGAGTTCTACTAAACAGAGCTGACCGCACTTGGAAATCAATTTTTGTCTGATGCTAACTGTTGGAATCAGTTTGCTGATACGCAACTTATTTTTTGAGAACCAGGCGTTTTATCGACCTAGAAAATGCAGATTAACAACTTGAAAAAAGACCAGCGAAGCCTGACTAACGAATACGCAGGGTGTCGCAAAAGTCATCATGCACACTAGTTTTCTATTTCTTTTTTGATATCATTCGAGAAACTTGGAGCTATCAGCATCTGACAGCTTAGGCTTTTCCCATGGCTCAGCAATTAACATCGAAGCAGCGTTGAAAAACTACCCCCGGACAATATGCTTTTCACCCCCCAAATGTGGTTCAGCGCGAGTATGAGAAGTTTTGTGGCCGTCACATTCTTCCAACACGTAGCACCGTTGGCGCCATCCAGGAAACAGGATCTGTTCTTGACAAACCACGCAACAGGAGGCCTGCTACCGCCATCACTGACGAAAAAACCGAACTCCTGGTGTGGACTTTCGCTCAAAGGCTAGGCCCACCCGGAGGGCTGCATTGGAACCCCACACTAACAAATGCTCGATTCAGTGGATGCTTCAGAGGATAAAAAGGCTCTATCCGTACCGGCTTTGGGTTCTTCAAACGCTTCAAGCGGAAGATTATGCTGCTAGTGCGTAAATGTGTGAATCACTCCTCCACCATTACCAAAACGACCCTCACCTATTGGAGGGCTTAGGGTTCGATGGCAAGCTTACCTTTCACCTCTCCAGCCGGATAAGCCGATACGATTTGGGGAAAATCAAATTCAGCAGCAACTCTGGAGCATGAACAAGACTCTCCAGAGCTAGTGGTTTTGTATGAAATGTCTAGCATTGGGCTGAGTTGACCATTTTTCTTCCGCGAAACATTCGGTAACACAACCATCGTTACAGGCGAAAACTGCCTGGCCATGTCGTAGGAATGTGCTATTCCTCGACTTTAATGAGAAGCAACCTTGCTAATGTCTTTTGTTAACAAGACAGACCTCTTCCCCATCTTCCTGAACACCAAGTTTCCTGACCGAACAGGCTCCGCGCTACCGTGAACTCACACCTTGCGACTTTTTTCTTCGCGACCATATTAAAATCAGGATGTTTGCCGCTGAGTCCCGCGGTCTGTCACAGCTTGGGGCAGGAATCTGCATGACCTTCAGCGAGGCTGGGAAAGGGGTGCTACAAAACGACGGAGAGGGCCGGCCCCAAAGGTAGCTAAAGTTTATCAAAAATGGAGGCGTTCATGTGGAGGTATACGCCAGCCTTTGGGCCGTTGGAACGTGATGACAAGTCAGTGGGAGGGACTTATGTGGACGTCTAAACAAGGTAAGAGAACAGGAACCGTCTGCAACACAGGTGGATTCGAGCCAACTTCCAGTGAAATCAGGATTAGGTTTAAGGTAAGCGTTAGGGTTAAGTTAGCGAGTAGGTTTAAGGTTAGGTCGAAAGTCAATGCTAACGTAAGCCAGGATCAAGTTAAGGGTTAAGGTAGCGGATAGTGTTAACTGCACAGGCAAGGTTTAGGTTAGGGTTAAGATTAGGGCAACGGTTTAGTTCTATATTAGGGTTATTGTTGGATTTAGGACACGGGAATATGTTTCCATCTCTAAAATTATGCACAGGTTCACCTTTATTACTTGGATGGAGCGGTCCTATTTTCGTGTTCGGTTTAGACATCCACATGAGTCAGTCCCACCGACAAGTCTAAGAAATAAAACTGCAATGACTCCTTTGCTGGTGCTAAAATACGAATAATTGTAGTTCCGTGTAGCTGTTAAAGATTTACCAAAAGTGCACAGTGACTTTTGGGACACCTTGTAGTTTGTTGGCGACTTGTTCTTATATTTGCTATTTCACCTTGTAGTTGGAATTTACTTTTGTCATTGCTGGCTGTTTGCGTCCTAAAGTCACTTGTGAAATTCTTATGCTGAGAATAATCGTGGGTCCCCACTTATGATGAACCTTCTTTCAGGACTAGGAGTAATAATTAAACAGTATTTGCTCTTACCTGAAGTTGGTAGACGGTAGGAAACATATTGAAGCACTCTGTACAGAGATTATCGATTTTCAGGATTCCAGTCAGTTCTCCGGTTGCTATCAGGTGCTGAACACGCTTTTTATTTTCCGGTATGTGATAAGTTGCCCAGTGGTCCTTGAGGACACTCTCATCCTCGTAGGTCTGAAGGCAAACTTTGCAGGTAGACTTCCCAATGATCATTTTGGATGCCTTTCTACTTTTCGATCCCCTGTGCCCTGCAGCTGCCGAGTCGCCTGACGGTGGGCCATTCATCATCTGTCGAAGTGTGGGTCCTGGGATCCTCTTCAAGACCTTATCCAGCTTCTTCAACTCCTGATCAGTCAAAACGTCCTCTGCGTCAAGTCCCTGGGCTACAAAAGTGTGTTGGCAGTAGAGGTGAGCCGTGAACTCGGCGAGGGTATTAAAGGTTTGGCTACAGAATCCTGTGACAGGGGGCATTTCACGTGGCACCTCAGTCTTTCCAGTGACCTGGGTGCCGCTCTCGGTAACGGTCTTCATCGTGGCCCTGAGCGTTTGCCACCACCTCGATAGTTCCAGTTTCCGACCATCGTACAAACATAAAAATGGCGTTGTGGCATCGACGTTGCCACCTTGCATTGTTTTGACGGCCTTGAAGTAGGCTAGTCGATTTATAAATTCAAGTTCCGGAACATGGTGGTCAAAGACGTGCATTTCTTGCATCAGAAGACTATCGGACCTGAATTTCGTGTGGCAGAATATACAGCGGAAAGGGTTCCTATGTGGCGAATGGGTTGATATGAGGTGGGCGATCAGATGTGATCTTGAAGGCAGAACTCGACCTCGACAGAATACGCATACAAGGGGACTACCAACTTGATCCATTTGTTTCTCAACCTTTTCAATGTCCTCCTTATGTTTCATAAAACAGCGATGGCGGAGAACTGTTGAAGCATTCACTTCAGCCACACAATGTTTGCATTCGTAAATGGGAAGTTTGAGGTAGTTATCTAATTTCCCCATCAAGTGTTCATGAGCAGTCAGATGGGCATGCAGATTGGAACGCACCTTGAAGTCCACGCCACATACTACACATATGGTTGGGTATTTCTCAACGATTTCCAAGTCAACAGCTGGTCCACCAGCGTTTCCAGTAAGTACATCTTGGTTTGCGAACGGAGACAATTCTGGATCTGGAAATTCCGCGGCCTTTGGGTTGGAAACTGGTGGCTTCAGATGTCGCATTTCTCCATTTTCGGCTAAGGGTTCGCCCTCACTGCTATAGCTCGTTTCCACAGTGAGCCTACGGTGCATTCTGCAGGAAAACTGCCCTTTCGTGCCCAGCCGAGGTAGCAGAGAGCACTACACATGCCGACAGTTGAAGTTGTATCGATCGCCAGTGCACGTGTTGTCTTAATACAATGTACTATAAATCACTACTTTAATAGTTCGAGTAGGCATGTTTAATAGCGTTGAATAAGGAATTAAAACATGCTGATAATGTGCCTGGCAAAAGTTATAAAGCATGCTAAACTTTTCCGAACTTGAGAACGCACTCTCCTACGACCAAACGGTAATCAAATTCTTATAAATCTATCTACATAGATAATCCGGAAGTTAAAAAGAACATAACTGAAGATTTAACATACCCAAATCACTTTGCGAAAATCTGTGCAATCACTAGTTTGAGGTTTTATGGATATTCTCGGAAGGCGAAGATCCTCGAGTGAAATATAAAAACATTTTATCCTCATACCGATCGGATCTGAGACGACACTACGCCTTCCGGTTCGACTTTCGCGAACTAGAGGGGATTATTGATGACTTGGGAAGCCCTTTGCCGAGGTGGTAATGGGGCTCCTCCATGGATAAGTTTGTTTTCTCCGTGTCAACTTAGTTTTTGGGGAAAAAAAACAAGTAATTTGCTAGATCAAATTTGGACCAGTTCATCGACGTAAAAACCGTCGACCGGCAGTTTAGACTGCTCGTTTGCAAAAGCCGAGGTTGCATGATACCTTAAGAAATGCTCTATTTTCACAAAGCAAGTTTAATAGAGCGCTCAAGTCCCTTGTCTTTTAAATAGGTACGCATTCCGAACCACTGTCGTGTCCGTTCTTTTCAAGGAGTTTTTAAGTCGGAAAATAATTTCACTGATGTCTGAATTTACCTTTCATTTGAATTCCCATTTAGTCAGTCTTTTGATACCTTGATCTGGTTTAGTCAACTCTGTGAGCAAGTTATTTTTATATGCTTATTTTCCAGCCGACTTAGTTCTCCTACCATTAAGAACAGTCCCACCCTAGGGAAAAAGCTTCCCGAAAAGACCCCTAGTGCATACGTCTTAGCAAAAGTCAGTCGCTTGCCACTAACTGGCTAAGTTAAGGCTAGAAGGCACGGAAAGCTCAAACTTGCTCCACAAACTTTTGTCCAAACGGTTGGCAGAGCAGCAACCATAAGTGCTACGGCATGACGCTTGTTTCAACGCCGCAGATGCCGACCCGGTCAACTTCCTTGTAGTCCTGGAAGCTATGCCTATGCTAAGTGAGACAACCAACGACAAGAAACACTCCGTCCGACAAAGTGTTACCTCCTTGCTGATGACACACACGCCAGCCCATTGTACTTTGCAGAATCAGTCAAAAGCTATGAGGGAACTGAGGAGGGACGAAAAATTATCATATTGCCCACCGATAATGGACGATGAAATGTCGTGATAACTCGGGAAGACCATAATAAGAGAACCAAAACCTTTCATAATAACAGATAATTTTACAGATTAGCACAAAACTCACAAGACAAAGCAGTAGCGGATCAGCCGAATAAAGTGTTTAAAGAGTACTGGCGCATAAATGAAATCACTGGTAACGAATGTCGCCAAACTAAAGCAAATGACACCACTCTGGCTTGATTCTCTCGTCTGCCAAAAATCCATAAGTCAAATGTCCCACTGCCCGCTGCCTTAGAAGGCAGCCCACCTATAATCTAACAAAACTAAAATTCCTCCAAGTAAGTTCGACTACCTCAGTTCGACCGGCTTTTCAATTCCCCGTAGACCTCCGAAGTCAGAGGATTCAATCGAACGAAATTATGATCTCTTTCAATGGGACATCGTTATTCACACCTACCCCACTGAATATGACACTCAAAGTCCTGCGCAGGAGACATGAAGAGGCATGAGACGAGATTTAGAGCCCGCTCAAAAATGAGCACCTCACGAGGATGTTTGGGTTCTGCCAAAGACTTACTTCACCTTTGCCGGAAAGACTTATGAGCAGAGCAGGGGAACTCGCATGGGCCACCGGTCTCCGATTTAGTGGCAGAACTGGTTCTATAGGAGTTAGAAGGGATTGCCTTCATTCAGTACGAGCCGGTCTTTTGGCGTCTTTACGTTAACGACGCGTTTTTTATCGTAGGGAAGGACATACAACAGAATTCCTATAACCTGCTCAACACGGTCTTCTCTGATATATAATTCTCGAGGGAAGAAGACCAGGAGCAACAGCTGCCCCTCCCTGATGTGCTCGTCAGACGAAATTCTAAAGGTGAAATTGAAAAGCTAGTTTTGTAGGAAGACGGCGAACACTATGCAGCGGTAAGGGTGGGGTATATAACCTCCCCCCCCCTGAGTGATTGGTGTGCTTCATAACGGTTTGCTTGGCAGCAGGTCGCGAAAGGGAGTATGTAGAACGCAGATTCTGACCTCAGTGAGCGTTATTGATATTAAAGTTGCCCGTTTTGGGTTCAGGGTTAGGGTTTGGACAACGGTTAAAATTGGCGTTAGTTGGGTTGTTCATCGGAATTAAGTTTCCAGGCTTAGGATATGATTTGAATTTGCGATGGTAGCTGTGATTTGAATTTGAGATTGAGGCCAGGGTTAGGGTTGTAGGGTTTGGCTTGGGCTACAGTTACCTCCGACTTCTCCTCAAATGCTTAAAGATAAGCTGTTATGAAGAACACCAACCACAGCAACCATTCGGTGGCTCACAAGCGAGGCAGTATGAGAACGCTCTTGAAACCGACCCAGACTCATTGCAACAAATCGGAGGAAAAAGCTCGTGAGACCCGATATCTCAAAGACTAATTCATACGGAATGGCTACACGAGGGGTTTATAGGCCGCTGTCCACGCGTTCGCTCACGGAGGCCCCAAACATCAACACTCCTAAGGGTTTGCCATTTTCTGCCATACATGAGGGACGTTTCAGAGGCGACCGAGCGCGTTGCTATGGAACTAGTTGTTGGAATAGCACACCGGCCCAAAACAGTCATGCGCAGTAGGGTCAGGAAAACAAAAGATAGGTTAAATCCCCGGGAGAAGTCTGGGGTAGGGTATCGCATTCCATGCTAAAACTGTCCTGTTAGCTACATAGGCCGGACTGAACGCATGCTCGGATCGCGCAAATATGAACATAAGCCGGCTGCGCGATGAGACTGCTAATTATCGCAAATGACTGCCCACGCCTACCAGATGGGTCATGAGTGTGGTTTTGCAGCCAACAAGATAATCGCCCGCGTCGGAAGAAAGACAAGCCAAGAACTGATTGAAGCCTGAGCCTTGAATGAGCATCCAATCAGTCAATTTATTGATCTGACGCCGGCGTACAGAGCCCTACGCAATCACCTCCTGGCCTTACTATGGTATCCTGCAAACCAATATATACTACTATCTGTCCGTCGGAAGTTACTGAATATCACACGGCTATGCCGCTCTGGCTGATGGACACCGGTCCAGGTATTCATACATCAAATTTCGGTCAACATCTATAGACCTTAGTTCAAACTGATTTACTACAAGCTAGCAGTTAATTTCTGCGGGGATTAAAAAGCAACGAACCATTCCTTCATTTGAGGAGATATTCGCTGGGCAGATTATGTCACACCTGGAAACCAAGACTAATCGTATGTCAGAGGTCCGCAAGCATTTGCGAAGTCTGCTTAGCGCAAACTTCGAAGTTGGCCAGGCTGACCAAAGTGCTCCTTTGACGGTTTCAGTAGAAAAGGCGATAACGAGATGGCGATAATTTCCGCGCCTCCCCTCGACAGGACAGAGAAATAGGAACACCCTCCCCCTATGATACTGGTGCTGGTAAGGATAGGTTGTGTAACCCAACTGGGTTTAGCACGTACAGGTTACTACTATATTTGTTCTAGAAGGCCTCGTTTTGTTTATTAATCCACAGCTACAGGAAGTCTCTCTTTGTGTGTTATCTAACACCCTGATATAACTGCATGCGCCGAAATGTTTCAGTATGACTTTTTGGTGATAAATTATTTGCATGATGCTATCGCTCCCCCCCCCCTCCTGCAATCCCTTTGTCTTACCTTGATTTCCTAGTTACCCTGATGTGCTTGTATTGCATTTCTTTGTCGATTCCATACTCCGTGATTTAGTTACTTCTTCCAGGAAAGTAGTTAAACCTTTTTGTACCTTGTCAGCGCTCCCTATACAACGCGTGCAGTAAAGATTGCTGGCCGCGTTTAAGTGTACTTTTCCTCGGTTAGAACGTAAACGCTCTGCTTCCCGACATCTCTGAACAGTTTCTGTTGTCGAACGCGCAAGTCTGACTTATTTATTTCTTTAAGAATACTTATACACAGTCCTTCTCATAAATACTAATAAGACGACGGTAGAGGGACGCGCACCAATTGTTTTTACGGATCTCACTCGTCCCGTTGAGCCTCACGGGCTCCCTCTTAAGTCCAACCAGCAGCCGCACAGCGGCGCATGATATAAGCAGAATGTTACTGCCAACAAAGACGAGGTAGACTGGAATGGCCATTTCTGGCTTATTATCCATCGTCAGCCAGTCATACCCAACCCCGAAGTGTGCAACACCTGGGGCTCGAACTCGCGACCTGTCTGCCGGTAGCAACATTCTGCCTATAGTACGCGTCGCTGTGCCGCCGCTGGTCGGGCTTGAGAGAGAGCTCTAAGTCACAACGGGACGAGTGGGTTCCGCAAAAACGATCGGTGAACGCCCTCTACCATTGCATATCCCAGATTGCAACTGCAGGACAGTGAGCCCGTGTCTCAGTGGTTAGAGGCGTTGGACTTCTAACTAACAGGTCGCGCGATCGAGCCCCAGGTGTTACACACTTTGCAGTTGGGGATGACTGGCTGACGACGGCTAATGAGCCAGAAATGGCCACTCCAGTCCCCCTTGTCTTTGTCGGTAATCACATTGGGAACAATAAGACAGTTACATTTAGCCGAGAGTTGGGGTTACACAACCTAACGTTGCCCTGGTGACTGTCATAGACTCCGGGATGTTTTCGCATTCCCGTGTCCTAACCCTAACGCAAACCCAAACACAAAGGGTAGCTCCGAACCTTAACCGTACTTCTACCCCATCTCTAGCCATAAGCTCAACCCTAAATCTAACCCTGATCTCCCCAGAAGTTAGCGCAAGGCAACTTGTACGACGAGGGGCTCCTATTCCCGTGTCCTACCCCATTCCCAACTGGGTTTAGTGTTGGACACAACTCATATTAGATAGATATTCTCGGTGCCACCTGGAGTAAACTGAATTGCTTAGAAGTGAATATCGGCACAATGGCGGAGAGGAGGACCACTGTGTTTGGGGGGAAATATAGGTAAATTACCTCTGGACCAGACCCATCTTCCTTGCTTATGCATCGATCGTATTTTGCAAAAATCCCGTTTCTGTGCATAATTTCAGTGCGAGAGTTCGAAGCCTAGGTGATACGAGAGACCGACGAGAACTCATTAACCCCTCGCTTCGGTCTCTCACCCGCGTATCACTACCTACGCACCCACCCCCCAACAGTGCCTACATCAACCGTCGGTCGTCTGAAGATGGGGTGAACTCTTGCCTATCTACGACTGTTATATTTGTCTTTGATGATAAGTCCCTTAACGAGACCGAAAGCTCAAACAGTATGGCATTTACGCCCATTAATCGGAAACCACACGTTGTCTCTGTACTAGACGAGCGTTCAAATGGCGAGTCATGTTCGACCCGCGGACATCTGATTTGTTTGTTATGCGCACCCTTAGAAAGTAAGGTTGGATACCAGTGTAGCAACACTCCGTTACTGATGCTAATATTATTGTAGTTAGTTACCCATACTGTAAGCGTTGGTAGAGTAGCATTGGCAGCCGTGGTGGCGGTGGTAGTAGTATTAGTAGTAGTACTAATAGTAGGATTATTAGTAGTATTCGCCGTATCAGTGGTGGTAGACGGGGGAAAAAGTTTTCTTCAGTGTTGCGACACTGTATTCCCGCCAGTGGTAGTAGTATTAGTAGTAACAGCGGTAGTAGTGGTAGTAGTAGCAGTAGTAGTGGTGGTGGTAGTAGTAGTAGTAGTAGTAGTAGTAGTAGTAGTAGTAGTAGTAGTAGTAGTAGTAGCAGCAGTAGTGGTGGTAGTAGTAGTAGTAGTAGTAGTAGTAGTAGTAGCAGCAGTAGTAGTGGTGGTGGTAGTAGTAGTAGTGGTGGTGGTAGTAGTAGTAGTAGTAGTAGTAGTAGTAGTGGTGGTGGTGGTAGTAGTAGTAGTAGTAGTGGTGGTAGTAGTAGTAATAGTAGTAGTAGTAGTAGTAGTTGTTGTTGTGGTAGTAGTAGTAGTAGTAGTAGTAGTTGTTGTTGTGGTAGTAGTAGTAGTAGTAGTAGTAGTAGTAGTAGTAGTAGTAGTAGTAGTAGTAGTAGTAGTAGTAGTAGTCCGCCCGTAAGACAGGCTGGTGGGGGAATAGACAATTCTAAGTGTTGCGACACTGTATTCCCGCCGAAAGTAAGCCTTTTTTACTTTGACTGGCCATTCCAGGCGCATACAGGACGGCTCTATGAGTTCTAGGGTGTCAGGCAGATAGGTGGATAGATAGGGAGAGAGAGAGAGAGAGAGAGAGAGAGAGAGAGAGAGTTGCCTGCAGACGGAATATGCTCAAGACTAATGCCGAAATACTTTGACCATGAAAGGTGTGCAATCTCGCGCACGAGAAGTGCACCTGAGGTCCGCAGTCCTGCCCTGCGAGACATGACATAATTACCATACGATCCAGTGCATTATAATATACCCGAAAGGCAAACCGCACAGCCACCCACATGTAACCCTCAGACTAGTGAATCCTATCGGGTACAAGCTTCGCTGTTTTGTACATGCACACCGCCTGGACCTGTTGGCCCACAATTTATGCAAATGTCCATACTATTATAGCCAGGACGCAGTGGAGAATGACGATTGGCGATTTAAAGAGAGAAAGAGAGAGAGAGAGAGAGAGAGAGAGAGAGCCAGTTTCAGATAGTAACCTGCATGCAGTAGACTCGATCGACAGAACGGGGGTTTGGCAGTTTGCCGTTTTCGGTTACTCCTAGACCGCATCACCAGAGTTAGAAGCGAATAGATACATATGCACAGAAGATGCGGTATATGCGGAATGCGTTTGCTATGCACCCAAACCCGGTCTGTCAATTTACAGGTGTAAAGCGATGCAGAAAGTACATCCAATAAAGACTGCATCCCCTGAATATCTTATTCCTAATATGATCTCTATGGCACTCTCACACATATGGGATCCGAACTGCTTACTCTCATTGCGAGATGCCTGTGTCTGCTTGTGGGGGGCCAAATCGTGTGTGTGGCACGCGCATACGGGTTGTTTTTATAACTATGTCATCCAAATCTCCCGACCTGAGCATCAGTTAACTGACCGGCTCGGACAATCGATTGGAGCTGGAAAAAGGGAAGAGAGAGTGAGGTCGACTATCAGCGTATAATTTCTTCCTATAAGCAATTCGACGTGCTTGACACCATCGTGAACTGGCAGTCAAACTGCAGTGACTCCTTCTTAATTCGACCTTCATGGCACTCCCACTCGGCTGGGATTCTAGCCGCTCCCGCCCTTCTTGTTGTGTGTGATTCTGGTCGTTTGAGTGTAGCTCAAGCTGTGTGCTGACACACCTAGGTGCAGGTTCATGCCGCACCATTCACCTGCTCCACCCTCCGCTTCCGGCCTTCTTGACCCTGTCAGGACACTGGACCCAGTTGGAGGAGGAGGAGGAGGAGGAGGAGGAGGAGGAGGAGGAGAGAGTGTAGTAGATGCTGTCCAAGTCTTCCCCACTTACACGTGCAAGAAGCGGCCCTATGCCCACTCTATAGAGCACGCGGTGGACACCCTCGGCATCAAGGCTCGAACTGTCAGTAAGCGGTACAGCAGGCACATCCCTGTAAAAAAAACTGTACCCCCTGTGTATTTCTGCCCGTTTCTGCCTCCGATGCCGGACTCGGATATGGGTTTAACGCGTCAGACAAACGACACCCTTGGTGCAGGGGTCCAATCTGCCTATTTTCGCCAGCAGTTTGGACATTTCTGCGCTCAAAACTCCACGTCAGAATCCTGGACATCATACTCAGAAACGCTGGATGTTCCTGTGCGTCTTGAGGACAGGGGAAGGATTTCTACGGAGAAGTGTTACCAAAAAAGGTTAAGGGCACTGTAATAACTATTTTCAGCTTATTAGCTGTAACCGGCTAGGGATGACCCAAGTCTAAGTGCTTAAGCAGTCAAAGTTTAGACCCAGGATTCAGTTAGTCATTCAGTCGAATGCTCTATCTATTTTAGCTACCGGAATGGCGGAGACATAGAAAATCAACGTAAACCAATGCTTCACTTTGACTCAACCGTGAAAAACTCGGTGCCTCGGTGGGATTCGAACCCACGACAGCAAGGGGAGGCCTTAAGATAGCCATCTAACTATCTAAACTACGAAACCCCACCGGACGACGCGAGTTTAATCACACTTGGGTCAATTTTATCCGCCCAACCTACTGCAACGTCTGGAATCCACCAAATCTCATGCAGTAAGCTGGTTGCCCAAGCAGGATTTCCTAAGTAATACATCTAGAATCCACCAGATGACTACCAGGCTCACGTACATCAGAGGTGTTTTGGCACCGAGTTTTTCACGGTTGGGTCAAAGTGAACTATTTGGAGTCTGCCAAAACACCTCTGAGTAAACCGATGCATCCTGATTGCCGAACGAGTATGGACAAATCAGTCTGAATATCAAAGCCATTTCGGTCATCACGCACCGATGAGCAGACGAGCATCAAAGTTATCCTCCATTGCCCTATCTTTTGTGAGTTAATTTGCAAGAGTGCCGGTCAGTCTAATTTTCAGTGGTTTAACAGGTTCTAATCGTCGACTGGCGCATGAAGGAGGGAATTGAATGAGACCGACGCTGAGAAAACCGTCCCTACGACAAATCAACGCATTTTCCACTACAATAAATCTGGCGAGCTTGTATTTATTACGACGTGCTGACGCTGGCGATTTGGGAGGTTACCACTTGATGAGATAAGCCGACTCTTCCGATGATTGTGCATCAGACCATATTGACGACTTGTTAGTGTGGCCCTTGTGGTATTTTCATGAATGTGAGATCCTAATGGCTCTTGAAGAAGCCTGGAACACGCTGCGGGAAGAAGGTCGTGGCTGCGGCACGCGTAGACGGCCCGTTTAAGCTGGGTAACCACTGTGCCCGATCCAACCTCCGACCACTCTGACAGTGTCTTGCCATCGGAGCCCGGTGAGTGAGCGGGGTAGACGCTATGAAAGTCAGCCCTACAATAAATTTATTCTCTCCCAAGTCAGTGTCCGGCGCCCGCCCTATGGGGCACATGGTGGATGTTGTCATTCGCGATGGCCAGACTGTCATAGTACTGAAAAAACTGTTAACCAGTAGATTTGGAGCATCACACTGATGGATTTCGGCGGCAGCCACTCCAGAAAGTGAAGGCAAATGGGCCGTTTCTTCTTCTCCGGCAGATTTTCTTCGAGACAGATCAAGGGTGGCGTTGACTGCAGTTTGCAGAAGCCTGATGATTATCTCATGACAGGCTAGGGCCGGGCAGTCACGAACAGTTTAAGAATTTTTAAGTAAACTTTTCTGAATTCCCAACAAATTTCGGTTTATTTTACTAGCTCACTAGAACATAAACTCTGGTCTTCAACTGCTGAATTCAGAATCGCAACCATTTCTTAACGGACTAAAAGCCATTTGGGATATACGCCTATGGTCCAACAAGACACGAGTTCGTCCGAAGTGCTGGAGTTGATAACCTTTTTAAATGCACATTCTGAAAGAAGTTATTGAGAGTCCATAGTAAATGGAAACTTGTTGGATAATGCTCCACTGAACATGATGGACGAAGTAAACGTGTGTAACTCATTTAATTCATTTTCCAAAGCGTGTTTTGTTAAACACGTGTTCAAGCGTTATCACCAATGACAATTTGGCCTGACTGATTGTGCAGGATATTTATTGGGTAGCGTTTCATGCAGATTAGGCGGTGGTTTTGCCTGGACTCGGAAAAATTGTAGTTTTAGATCACCAAGCAGTTACCACGGCCTGCTTTCCGCCAAAATCCGACTTGGAGAAGTGCTCCGTCGCTTTCTAACGACTGAGTCATTGTGTTGGTCGCCGGCGGCTGTCGACTAGCAGCCACATCCTGCATTACTTCGTGATCTGAACGAGAAAAAGGCCGCGTTTATTGCGCACAAGTCGAACGCTACAAACTTCATGTGGACGATTTCGCCGCCTTTTGTTCCGTGCTGACAGAGAAGTTGTCACGCTTTTACCCTTCCGGTTTTCTCTACACGGATATATACTGAGCGTGTATGTTTTGCGGTAGCCTTCGTGTACTTCTAGCTGGATTCGCTTCAAGGAGCGTCCTCCAGTTACCTCTCGAACCTCTACAACTTGACGGCATAAAGTACTGAGTCATGGCTGAACCCCAAACTTGCCAGTGGATGCTTTGTAGGATGTTACTTTAGAAGTTTGCGCTTTTTCAAGTCCAAGTGGTCCAATTCTGAAGGGTGGAGAGAATCTATTTCTTTTCAAACCGTTTTGGATGACCTAATAAGCGAATACGGAAAGAACATCACTATCATAGGAAAGTGTGGTAGAACCCGCCCTATGGTGTGGTGCTGCTTCAGGCAGCAAAAAATTAGATCTACCAGAACTGTTTGCAAGTTGCTGACGGCTATCGATTGTGCGGTTCATCCAAACGACTGTTCCGCCGACATCCATCGAATGCGGCTTTGCTCGCAGGCTTCCTGTTGTTTTGGTAGACAAAATGAAACTTGTCCTTCCAGGAGTGCAGATTCCAAGGTCTATTGCTGTGTCCAGCCTGTGGCCGCCGTCAACCAAGGGAGCAATAATCGCTCCAGAGATAGACTTTTCAATGCCTTGATTTAGCCAGGTAGGCTGGTGCTTTAGCATTCGCTCAGATAAGCGCCTAGTCGTTCGACCAATACAACCTGCCGCACCGGAGCAAGTGAAGGCGTAGATGCACACTGAGGAAAGGTCTGAAAGGGCAGCCTATCCCCACTTTCAAGGCGAAGAGGCGGAATGCTTGGAAAAATGGGTCTCGACATGGCGGCTGAGTAAGTGCGCGCGATGGCAGAGTTTAAACGACGTTGTAAAAATTCGCTTGCCAGATCCCCTCGAAATGGCCGTTTGTGAAATAGTTTCTTCTTCTTCTTAGCCTTTGGTAGATTCGTTTTTGGAGAATTTTCTTCCACATCTTTCGGGATGAACTTGTCGGGAAGGCCATTTTCCCACGGAGTATTTTGTACAAAGACGAGTTCGATGTCCGGCATACCTGGAGGGCATTTTCTCTTAGTTTGGTTGTCTAGGCAGCGGAGTAAGCTTCATTTTTGACTTAGCAAGACGTAGCTGTAGAAATTTGGTCATTGCTCCGTCCATGTTTACTTATGAAATCCACCGCCAAGAACTGTTCCATCAGGCGTTCTACTAATTAGGACATCCAGAAAGGGGAGACACTCTCCTTCCCCTTTTTCCAAAGTAATTGTCGCTTGGGTAGTCTGGTTCACTCAATCCAGGAGGGCATCCACATCAAGCGTTGCACCTGCTATTAGCAAAATGTTATCAACATAGCAAGCATAGGACTCAAGGTCCTTTATACATCGACCGAGCTGGTTCTTCTCCAGTTTTCTTATGAAAACTTCAGCTAAAAGAGGTCCGTGGAGTGATCCCATAGCTGCGCCTTCGACCTGGTGATAAAATTGGCCACCGAGTCTGAATGAAAATTTCAACGTGCAGAGTAAGGGCGGCTCTTTTAGGTCTACGATCGGCATTTCGACTGGGAAATCCTGCCCAACAGTCTCGTCACATAATCTTTTTATCATTGTCATGAGATTACTAGTTAAAAGAAGACGAGACATCTAAGGATAACATCTTTTCCACAGTGAGATTCGTATTTCTTACGGAACCGATATAACATGTCACGTAGGATATGTGGTATTTTTTCGTGCCAAAATGGCTGGAGCCTTTCTGCCAGCCACATTGCGATTGTGTGATTAGACGAGCTGAACATGCCTAATATTAATCACATAGGAAGGTAGGGTTTGTGAACCTTTGGTAATCCATATGGTCTCGGGGGCTTGTGCCTGTGGGCTTCAGTGATCCGGACTCCTGTTCACGAAGGAAGCCTCGGTCTTTCAGTTTTCGAAAACGTTTTGTGAGTTGGGCTTCTACTCTCTCCGGTTGTTCCTTGCCTCTCTTTCTCTCCCTTCTGAAATTGGTGTCGTCACCCAAGATTGGTTTACTTTTCTAAGCATAAACGCTCTTATTTGGTAGAACGATATCAGAACCTTAGTCCGGTTTGGGGATTAGTATTTTCTTGCTTTGACTTAATTTTTTCATTTTTTCCAGATGTGTCGTCTTGTTATGCCCGATTCTTAGTGATTTTGTCCCAAGTTATTTGTAACAAGAATTCACCAGCGCGGATTAGAAATACTGGACTTCCTTCTGATTCGTAGGTACTACGTCATGTTTCTGACTCAAGAGGTTTGAAAAATAAACTTCAATCACTAATCTGTTTGATCTTTGATTAGGGACTAATCGCAGAACTTAAAAATCCAAGTATTTTCTATTGTTTTATTGTTACTTTGCCGTTGTATTACATTTTCCTTCTCTGCCATCAGTTGTACTAGGCCCTATATAATTGCCCAGTCATAGAGTCATCGTTTTGATTTAATGGTTTACGATAAAATATATAATTTCTTGGCTAGTAAATGATACTTTATGAACCAAAGTATGCCTTCTTTCGAAAAGCAGTCGTTTCTTTGACTCAGTACAACTTTCGTCGACGCGGAGTAGACGGTCTGTGCTTTACAAGGGTTTTCGTTTGTGACCTTTCATCTGATAGGTCACGAACTTTAATGTATCAAAGATGATCAAAACAACTTTAGTAACATAAAATGTCAGGAGTATGAAAACTTGCACAAGCACCAAGGGGTTCGCTGGAGAGAGGCCGTCAAACCCCAGATCCGTAGAATCCTCCCTGGGTGCTCCACTCGCTGAACTAATGAGGGCATGTCCGCTGGCTTTGGGAAAGGATATTTCCCAAAGGCCAACTTGCTACTTAGTCTGCTGGAACTGTAGGGCGGGCCTCTGCTACGCAGAGGGAATTCGACTGTTGTAATGGATCCTGCACCACACTCTTCAGACGCCCTGTGATTGATGCCAACCAGAAAAATGTGCAGTAAGATAGACTATATGAGATCTAAAAAGTCACATAGCTAGAAGACGCGATCGAACCGCCAATCGTACGTGAAAGAAGTATCTGCTGCAAGAAATGAGGGAAGCGGGGATTTGGCGTACGGAAGCACTTCAGCCTTGGGTAAAACGTGGGTGACTGACGACGACGATGGACAAGTCGCTTGTGAGGCCCCAAGCACGGATAAACCGACGTGGGGGTGAGCGTGTTTTATTCTACAAACAGGTCAGATGGATGACGGTTGCTGAAACCTGCAATAGTGTACTTCCTGCCTTCCCAAACGATGACCTCAGGAGAAACAAACCGGCTTAGCAAGCAGCAGGTATAGAATTTTGTAATTATTTACCGTACTGACAAGACAGGCTCAAGCTAGAAGCCCAGACACGCGCGTTGTGCCGATCATCTGTCGCTGTCTGACGCAACTGCGAGGGGCTCGACTCATCAGTGGGTCCCCCGGCCTTCCCCTTGTGTTTTCCTGCATATGCACCTGTCTTGTCAGTGCGATAAATAATAACACAATCCTGTACTACTGTCTGCCTGTTGACGGTCTGTATATATTACGCGGTTATTCCGCAGTAGTTGATGGATTTCAGCTCAAATATTCATATCGAATTTTGGACCGTGCCTGAAAAGGTCTGCTCCGAAGGATTTACTCCAAGTTCGCACATTGATTTCCTCGGAAATTAAGCAAGGCAATGTAGCAAGTATGTATGGACAGGTCTGCTACAGTTCGATGACATCCAGTACCAGCTTCTGACGTCCGTGAAGGCTACCGCAGGGAAGGTGGTGAGTAAGCCATCGCAGATGTTCCAGTGGGAACCGCGAATGTGACATGCCTTACACGCAGACCTTCACGACGTATCATCCACTGCATCTAGTCTTATCATGCGTTAATTGGCAGGCTCGGATAGTCGACTGGAGAGAGAAACAGAGGCCGACACCGTGGAATCCATCCCCAGAGCAAATCAGCTCATTCCTCACTGAAAGTTTGACCGTCGGTTTCGACTACGTCCACCCTGTGCTCCACAGCAGTGTTGGAGCAGGAACGATGACTTACGCGTAAGCTAGTTTTCTGTGGTCGCAGACTTGTGCAGCATCCACCGCAGTCTCTCCTCCCACGTCACCCATGTGCTGTCTTATGACAGAGTCAAGAAGACCGGAGGAGAGAGAACACAGGTGGCGGGCACGGCGTACCTAGGCGTACCATCACGCCGCATGGTCCACAACGTACAATGGCCCGGATTTTATACAAGGAAAATTGGAGGGGACGGTTTGCATCCCAGTTGACGCGATGTGAGCCTGTGTGGCGGCCAGCCATCATGACCGGTCTGGCGTCATTGTTTAAGACCCCGCTGCTTCAAGGTCATCCACCCTTTTGCAGTGAGCCGTTCCAGGCGCGCTGACCTGAAGTCGCACGACCGGCAGCTCGGGTATACCTGCGTCCGCACAACCGCAGCTGCCTATACGGCCATTTGAACGCACCCCACCCCCAGCAAGCACAACCTAAACCATTGGGACACCACCCCTCGGCAAATTCAACACACACACACTGACTGGTCACCACTTGAGCTTGGCCCACAAGCCTACAAAAGCGGCTGCCACCACTACCTCAAGGACTCTCAGGCATGACTGAACGCATTCAACACCAGCCCTGGCTTCGCCGGTGGCCACAGCCGCTTGGGAGGACAACTCCGGGTTCTGTGCACGATAAACCCCCATTATGGTGCCTTCTGTCTTCTCCCGACACCTGCAGCTGAGCCTGCCACCACGGGCCGAATGTTGGCATTTGTTATGGGTGTGAATTTATGACAACGCTTGCCGGACTCCGACCTAGCCCACGTGTTGGTCCAGCAAATCTACCTCATGGCTCGTCTTAGGGGCACTGACTCCTCACTACTACTGCCTATCACGACGGGATATGATTCGTGGATTAGAAGGTTTCCAGCCGACGGGGTATCTCGGTCCCTCTGAGGACTAAAAGTCAAGCTTAAACGGCTCCTTACTAGTGTGGCCTTAGTAGCATTCACGCTCATCTTGAGATCCGAGCTGCCCTCTTGACACATCTGGAGTGGAGATCAGGACGTACGGAGCACGCGTAGATACGTTGTTTGGCTTGGTCGGCCACTGTACCCATGTTCATCTCCGGTTGTCTTGATACTGTCCTCCCATTGGAGCATGTCGGGTGAGGGAGGAGGGTATGTGGAAGACGCTTCGTGAGTCTAACTCGCTCGCGCGCAAGTCGCCAATACTACGTTCACTCCTTGAAGTAAACGATGGACGTCGAATTCTGCGACATTCAAACTGCTGCGTCATGAAAGACGGTACTATTGTGTATAACCACTAGTGCAATTGTTTGTCTTTATCGTAAAATGTTAACCAAAAGACGTGAATATGTCGCCGATCGGAAAGGATTGCGTAGGCGCAGTTGTAAGACTTCTTAGCGTCCAACAAAATCTCAATATATTTCAGTCCCACTTGAAAAAGCTTATTTCCGATCGCTTGGAACACTCTGTAAAAAAACTACTCATGTCTTGTGCATTTTCCTACTGATTCTCGATGCTCCTATAAATTCAAACTTATTTTTTAGAAAACATGCAAAAATATTTTTTCTTATACTCATCTGGTACAGTGTCACGTCTTCTCTAGATGTCGGTTTCAGAAAGGTTCGCAATTACGAGACTTTTAAGATCATGGAATGTCCACCCATAAAGCATCATATCTGTCCGTTTATTAAGGGCGCTTATAAAGTATGCACATGGTTCTCACTCATCATCAAATTGTATGACCCCTATACGACGTCTTCTTAGAAGTGTAAGTAAATGTACGATTTTCTTACATGTAATTTTGAAATCCTGAACGCAGTTACAATTGCAGGTTCAAAATTATTCAGAAATTGAAAGAAGTCTTTGAAACCGAAATATACCCTTTTTCGAGCATGAAATTTGAATAAGACTTTATTTGCTTCCCAGTGGGTACAAAAGAGGGTATTTTGTCCAGGCTTTCTATCAAATACGTTTTAATTTATAAGGACATCATAAATCGGTGAAAAAAATCATGCTACATAAGTCGTCGTTCCTACTGAATGTGATTTTCGCAGGCGGCCATCTTGGTATGACTGAAACATATTCAGATTATGCTGCATAATAGTCAGCCTTATAACACTTACCCAAGTAATCCTTTCTAATGGACAGCACATTTCAGGCGTCCGGTCAAAATTTTGTGAGATCGGCCAGCAACCGTAGGCAACGAGTCGATTGCACTTCACTTTGGCGTGTATGCCCATATTTTGCTTTGAATTGCTTTGATCTGGAAAATTCAATTTCTGAACCCGAAATTCGGGGTCGTGCGGAGGCAGAATAAATTTGGCCGGTGTCTGATAAATGCGGACTTTCGTCTTTCTGATCAATGTTATCAGTAGGTCTACCACCTGACAGGCGTAAATAATATGCGGCAAGAAACGTCTGGAGTCGTTTATCGGATCTGGTGCAGTTGAGGACAAAGCAAATATGTCGGTAAAAACCGGAAGACAGCTCCGAACGAGAATGGCCGAACACGCTGCAAAGGTGCGGAGAAATGACGCCAGCTATCAAGTTGCGGCTCATTTGACGAAATCCGGCCACACATTCAATTTCGGCGAGGTCGAAATTCTTGCAAGAGGTGACAACCGCGTGAGTCGGGAGTTGCTTGAGTCATGGTTTACTGGCCCCCAGTCCATTAACAAGCGCAAGGATCTTCCCATTCCATACTCGATGCTGAGACTTCGCCTAGGCGGAGAAATTAGGCACGCGGGGAGCGCACAGGTGAACACTTTCCCCAACCCCAGGGTCGGCGGGTCAGATGGTCGAGCAATTATCACACCAACATCCAAAGCACGTGATGAAATTGCAGCAATTAACGACGCGAATGTCGGCCATCAACTAGCCAACACACTAAGTGAAACGATCCCTGATGAAGCGGAGAGCCGTGAATATTCGTAGGTATGCGGTGGCAGGGCGACTACATCTATAAATACTGCAGCCCCCTGTGCATGAACCACCCGTATCTGCTTTTGTCTCTGCTGATGGGTTCGGGCAGGAATCCGAACCGTCAGGCTAATAAAGCTCTTGTCCCGACGATCGCGTCGCCTTCTTCAAGACTGTTTTGTGGGACTCGTCTCTTTGCTGCTATTGGCAGGGAACTGCTGCTAATTTCTCCAAATCCACCTACATTAGGAATACTGATTTACATGGTTACGAGCCCTGGTTCCCTTTCTACAAAACACCTGGATGTGGTTAGAACCAAAGACCTTTTGGCGCGGTTACATGTTAGTGTTTGCGCTGCGGTTGGGTTCGAGAAGTAGCGATTTCCTTTTGTGTATGCGACTCACCATCGTTGTTTATTTAGGATGTAATTTGCGGCAGTATCAAAAGCAAGGGCTGGCATTTTGGTCAGCGAAGGGACCGTGTTGGGCAAGCAAAGGGTGCTGATTGTTTTGGTGGACATGCGCCTCTGGTCGGACATGGCGCTGGCAGCCTTTCCCCCCCACCACAACGGCCTCTTCTGTTGAGCCTAGCAAACACCCTACAGCGCTGACGCTGATCGTTGATTGGTCGACCACTAGCGTGACCTAAACATGCACCACTGCTCCGCGCCGTTCAGGCCAATCAGGGTGCAGCGTCGTCCGACTTCGGTAACGGTTAACTTGTCAACATGTCCCTGATCTGTGGATGTGTGGTGACCACAGAACCAGTTTTCTCGTGACCCCAGAACCGCGATCAAGGTGCTGCCTCCTACGGCAGACTTCACCGTAGTGAAGCTAAGGTCCCGGGTTAATGCCTCAGGCTTTCGACAAGATCTAGCACGCGTTATCCAGTCTGCGGGACCCTACCGACTCCTTGTGTAGTCTGGATACTGTCGCCTGATAAAGCTGTCATGCTTCTAAGTACCAGTAACTGTAGTGCAAACAGGGAGGATGGTGTGCGATCCCTTCGCCCCTGTCCGTGTTGACCCATAAGGACCGCGGTGGATAAGCATCGCAGGCGCTTTGACGACGCCAGGATGGTGGACAAGAAATCCGGACTGGTGGAGTCAGTAATAGCATTTAAACAAGGCAAAGGCGACAAAGCACGCAGAATCTACTGACGTCATAAATTTCGAGACCTCTCATTCAGCTGCACACGGTCATTGCATAGTTATATGACAAGGCAAACTGTTCAATCAACGATCGACCTAGAGAGATAAAACGCGATAGGTAACCTGAAGCAGGGTCTAGTATGCGGGTGCATATGGCGAGGGGGGAGGGGAAGGGGGAGAGAAGTCGTCCAAGTATGAGAGAACTTGTGCGGCGTGATTTAGAGTGCAACGTGCGGGGAGCATTCAGTCATGCCGGGGAGAGGGGGGCGGGTGGGGGCGAAATGAGAAGGCGCACATGGGAACAGGGTTTCGTCCATAATCGATAGTTACCATGGCAGTGCCAGGTTTATCACATGGTCCAGCTGCTTACAGAGTTCTGGTTTCCTCCTCCGTATTGCAGCGGCCTCTGCAAAGCTCAAGAGACGCCCGGTCGTCGCCCGAAACAGGACCTTGAATGCAACCATTGGGTCCACCGTATGGCCCGTGTCCACTAGGTGCTTTGTGATCGAGCTCCTGGGTACCTTATTTTCCGCCTTAAGCAGCCACTTCGGCATGTGTTCAGCTGACCGAGCTGCCAACTGCCTTTGCGTGAGCCCAATGTACTTGCATCCGCAACTACATGTAAACTCATAAATACAGTTTGATGTGGCGTGCATAGGCAAAATGTCTTTAGCTGGTCTAACTGGGATGGCCGTTGTGGTGCTTATGAACAACAATTTAGAGGCGGCATACGTCCTTTCGATAGTGCACCGAAGTCGTCGCTTGATCACGTTTGACACATTATCACCCTTGAAGGGGAGGTAGATGGTCACGGACTTTTTAGGTACATATATTTCTTCAGGAGTTTCTTGTCTGGGATGGCGATATTTATCGATGAATTTCTCCGGATAACCATTTGCAAGAAAAACGTTCTTTAGGAAAGTAAGCTCGTCATCGATCCTATCTGAGGAGCAAATTCTGGTGGCTCTATTGAACAGGCACAAAACCAAGTTCCGTTTTCTCTGAATTGGAACGAA